CAGCCTGAGTGGGTTTTTAATTCACGGTTTTATCATTTAGATAATATATTCTATGCTAAATTTTACATATTCACTGGGTTTTAATTTAGCACATTTTCCAATCAGCGAAATAAGCAAAATTAAAACCCAGTGAATAATTAATCCTTTTACAGTAGTCTACGTCACGGAAAAAGCTTCAACGGCTGAGGGCGTGACAGGTAGTTTGGGCAAAAATAAATAACAATATTCAGCATATTTATAAACTATTATGTCATGTATTGATATGACTTGTGAAATGTCACTATTTACCTGCATTTCTGTGGACATACGCACGGTAGCAAATCTTCTTGATGAAAATAATATATCAATTGTCTACACATATCTGTCGGTAAATAAAATTATATATAGATATAAATAAATAAATAAATAAATAAATAAATAAATACAACAATTGCATATAACCGGAATATGTATATAGCGTGTATTCTAAATACTGTAAAACATGTTGAAAAAGCAGCATGCAATTTTAGCGAATTTTGGTAAAATGACGTAATAGAGAAATGTTGATTTCGCGAATCTCTGTTGCCATTGTTGATTTCTTTGTTTGGCGGCCATTTTGAATTGATAATAAAGTCATTCGCGACATCTTCAATTAGCGAATCAGTTCTCTCGCTAAATTCGCGAAAAAAAGACATGTTTTACAGTATAGTGTATATATATCACGTTTATTGGTTCACTCGTATTATTGCGATGTTTAACACATTTCGTAAATATATTTCTAAAAAAAAAAAAACTTGCCTTGAGTTTTATTGAGAAGTTGGCATCTTGGGGCATCTATTTCAAATGTGTCCACGCAATAGCAATATTTCAGCATTTGCCTCAGGACGCATGCCTTCTGGCACCCCTATGGAAGAATATTAGTTGCATCATTTATGAATGTAATATGTTATATTATACTAATTCGCCGTAAATAGAATTTAACCTAATTACCCTCGAGTTTGTAATAAACCAGTATATTGGCAATGTTGACTTATTAATTATACCACGTGATATGCATAATTGTGTTCATCCAATGAAATAACCTACCAGCACCGTGTACGATTTTCCCCGTAGCATCCTCGATTCATCTAGCTCGCTGTTCCCATGCGTGCAATTGCCATAGGGGTCGGGCATGCGTGTCAGCACGTGCTGTAAGATATATGGTACGTGGACAATTAATGTGACTTGTTTTCCTTTCAGGGATAATTATAAACTCGTTAATATTGAAATCAGGTGAGATCTCGCTTATTTCAACATCAATCAACGCTCATGAATTTCTTCCCAAATTCCACTGATAATAGAAATGACTATATACCCGAATGAATTCAAAGTGCGTACGCGATGAGAAGGTGGTCGTCGCGCAGCGCGTGTTCGAATTTCATGTAAATAAACAATGTATTTTACACGCGTTGTATACGTCGCTATGAGTCCCATATCGAACAGGGCGCAGTACGACGACTACCGCCCTTTAAACAATCCTGATAAAATACAATGGTGGTAAAATCTGCGATTTCGGAGTATACAGACAAGTAGTAATGTCATGAATTTGTTTTCGCGTATCTGTTAACCGACTTAATTAGTTGATTATTAGCTGAATTGCTGTGTTATGTCTGTCACCGTTCAGGCCTATTTGAAGTTTTGGACGGAACTTGGCTCAGTGATTTGGAACTTATTACCAGATAACCGTCGCCATTTTGACAGTTTATATCCATAGTTATTAATGTAGTGAACGATTAATCAAAAGATATGACGTATTCAGTACTTAGTGTGATTGGCTTTATGATTGAAGGTTACGCCCTAGAGTCTTTTACTGTTTTGTAATTGGTTAGAGTTTTGAAAATGAATAAAGAGAGTTTGAGTTGGTCTTGGCGAATACTCCACGATAGACGCAGAAGAGAGAGAGAGAGAGTGCAGTCCTGGGCAGTCGAGTCCAGTCTAAGAGAGTCTTGGGGCGAGCCTTGACGCTGTCCAGTCTTGGGCGAGTCTTGGTTCAGCCTTGTGAGAGTCTTGGGGACTTTTCCCCAGGGCGCTGTGTCTTATAGAGTGCTCCAAAAGATCGACTAAGACGAGAGCTGAAACGTATTTCGTTGTGTGCGTCTTATTTGACTGTAAAGTATAAGTGACTTTCCCGATCCCGTACCTCAAGGGGACGCGATATAGAGACGAGACGAGTTTCCCCCCTGGCAAGTGTGGAGAACCCGAGAGTAGAAGAATTTACCCCTGATAGTAACATCCTTCTCTACTCCATACAGCAATCATAGTTGAACAGTTCATGTCAGATATTGTGGTGCACGCGAAGTGTCGTTTTCAAATACATGTAATTATTGTTCGAGACTGCGTACATACCTCTCTGAGACCAAACGACGTCACAGCGCCTGGTCTGATAGTCACGCCTTCGTCTTCTGGGTACGCGTGCACTTTATGGGGGCTGATCGCCACACGCGCCCCTGTCTCGCGTCCGTACAAACTGATGTACTCGTCTTGTTCCAAGAATAGAGTCAACTTTAGGCCATACTTGGACCCAGTGCGACTGATACGAAACGTGTCGTTCTTGCCTGGGAACTGGAAACAGTTGCCGTAACGGTTGTCTTGGAAAACGCTGAAATCACTGAATATGTTGACAATATATTAGTGAGTACGCACAATATTTTGCAATTAGTATACAGAGAATCTTGTGTTGTATAATCTGTTGTTTACACGTTTTAAGTTGTCATAAAACATACCACGAGATAACTTTGACAATGTAGTTAATTTGTGGTTATTTGAAAATTGTGATGCAAACAATGTTTTGTACTAGATAAAAAAAACAATCATGTAACACTAATCAATTAGAAACATGAATACGTCGAATCCGCTCGTACGACTTCAAAGCGGGAGGGTCGTCACCTGCGCACGTGCGGGAATTGAGGCCCAAGCGGTGATAACAACACGCGCTAAAAACGCAAAGGCGCATGGGTAGACGCTTGTTTGTAAACAATGGCACGCTATGGCCATCTGACGCATGCGCAGGTGACAACTCTCCCGCTTTAAGAATGGGGTGCACCTTTGTAAACAATTTCAGATTGCAATTCTCTTTAATTTGTTTTACTTTTCGAAGAGTACACAAGAATGTTATGCTTGTAACATTTTAACTACTTTTTTAGTAAGCACGCCCCCAAAACATGCCGAGAATACTAATGTTACTAAAAACGTGTTCATTTTTTTAAAGACTTTATTAATGCAGCTGCACGAGTTGTACGTAATTAATAATGGCTGCAAGCATTCAGCTATGTGGTTGGGCCGTCCGAATATAGTATATAAGCACGAAAGCCGAATATGCAAATTAGATTCCTGATTCCCATTGTACAATGAAATAGCATTATTTTGTGTGTTACAGTTAAGCTTTTTGAGAAACGTGTCCTAATTATTTTTTGAAAATTGCTATTTTTAGAACAATTCCATCGAACACAATGTTAAAGAAAAATTGCATTTTTTTGACACTTTTTAAAACCCAGATTTTTTAAATAATTCAGAACAACAAAAAGTACTTCATCATTAACATTATATGATTTTTTCAGCCTATGTCACCAGGCTTGATTTTGAGATATTGCATAATATCTCTGCCATATGAACCTATAGTAAAAGTGTTATAATAGTGTCAAAATGGCGACTTTCCACTTAAATACAACCATCAATTTCTCGAAAAAAAAAGGCTGGCGACCCCCAACTTTTTTTAGGTCAAAATCCTTATATTGCCTTGGAATACAGTTTATTGCAAAATGAATAAATTCTAGGTATTTTAATTTATAAGTAGGCTTCTACCTTACGGCGCAAGAGTCGTCGCTCAGCGCGTTCGAATTTCGTGTTTTACACTCGTTGTGGGTCCCATATCGAACAACGACGACTTTTACGCTTGAAAAGTTTTCTGACAAACTGATTTATTTTTTGCGACTTTTGACCATAAAAATAAACCCAATTTTTGAAAAGTTTTCATATCCAGCTTTTTGAATATATGTGACATGGCATTCTTAAAGTTCGTCTTCCTCTTTTATCAACTTGTTCAAAAGATGATGGTTAAAAGTGTGCGAATCATAGAAACGTACATATACATGACTATCTGGCCGCTTATCCTGAAATGCTCATTGTTAATAAGCCATTGCAGTGAAGTGAAGAGCGCCACCTACACATACTGTCAATAAAAATAAGTGCGACATCGAAAGACACTAGCACAATCAAGTGTTTCAGGACCAAGTTTAATTTCAAGTTTTTGTATGAGAACAAAAGATGCATCGTACCTTGCGCTGCATTCACGTTGGTCAAAAGTACACTGCAATATAAAATCTTCCGCTTGATGACCTAAAACTGAAATTGTATCGTCTTCCAATTTTAACACGTCTTCCAAATCACTGTAATCCGGCGTGGAACTGAACGTTCTGAAGCCATTCCAATCAGGCGGGTTCTCCCCTTTGACTCTGTAAAACCCATTATATCGGTAGTATCGTTTTCGAAAGTCGTTATAGTGGGACATCTTTGTGGTAAGCTCTTCGTAAGGCACGTGCCAGTTTTGTTCAAAAACGTGTTTGTTCTCAACAACTGGAAATAATGGTTATTATGTTAATTATTGCATATGTATGTACGTACGTACGTACGATGGAAATTTGCATACGTAAACAAGCTTGTTCTTTTCTTCCGGTTATTGGTTGCTCTAGCTAAATTCGAGACAGCCACAAGGATTGTTGCCATGGAAATATAAAGTAAATTAACGTATTTAAATTAACAAACTCGACTAAAACATATTTAAGAACCCAATAACCTGCCCGGTAAGGGCTATTGTAACAATGTTACGGTTTTTTTTTGGAACATTTTGGTTCAAGTTTGACACGTTGCTTTGACTGACCTGCTCCTATGCAGTGTTCATGTTCATCGCTGCCATCGGTGCATTCTGCCACAGTGTCACATTCTGAATACGAGTCTATGCATTCACCGTTAGAACACTGAAATCCATTGCATATATCTTCGGTACCATCTGTAGAATTTGGCAATAATGTTAAAAACAAATCACACAAATTTAAAGCGTTGTGTAAATGTTGGACTACTAACCCACGATAAGGTTTTTGCTCAGTTAAAAGGCGGGGGTCGTCACGCCGCGTCCTGTTCGATATGGGACTCACAGCGACGTAAACAACGCGTGTAAAATACCTTGGTTGTTTACATGAAATTCGAACACGCGCTGCGCGACGACCACCGACCTTTAAATTTAACAGGATAATATAGCTGTGCGTGTGTATTAACATTTATTATGTCCGCGTTCGGTTGAAATTCCGTGCTTTTATAATTATATTACTAATTTGCTGTAATATCGTACTTCTATTAGATCTTTCCTTTCTAAGTTGACGCGGTGGATCATCGGCAGGATTTCTTCGCTTTCTGGACAAGTTACTGCAATTTTCATGTTCATCTGTGCCGTCTTCACAGTCGCTGAGACCATCACATACCCAGCTTTGCTCAATGCACGCCGTGCCACCGTCACAGCTGAAGTCTGTGCAGTCTATATATTCAGAAAGAATTACATATTCTCGTTAAATTCAGCAATCAATAACAAAGATACGCTGTACGCTGATGTGGTAATAGTTACGGTATCTTAAGCGTGTGTCTTGTATTTAAAGGCAAAGTGAATCATCGAAACCACCAGGGACATTTTCTCAGGCGTTCATTGACAGACTTAGTACAACAATTATTAAATTTATTGTCCTATATACATTCATATATTTTTCGAACCAAAAATTTATGTCTGACTGGTGGCCATTTTCAACTGAAACTGGTCTAAAATACTTCATCAAATATATCAGGAAGATATAATACGATTTACTTACTTGCATTGGCGGGACCCACTGTACTGACATTGGAATACATTTCAGATCCAGTTACTAATTCGCTGGATCCAGTGCCTTAGACAAAATAATATTTATATACAAATGATGACCAGCTAATATTAAAAGCAGAAGTTGTCGAACCCAAGGATTACGACTTTGTATATATTTTATTTCAGCTATATTACTAGAATATATTCCCTACTATGAACTTAAACGTGAAGCGAACTTTTAATTGCTTCAGAACGGTTGCATAGATCACAAGATCCGAATGACTACATAGATTGTTTATATTTACAATTCTCATGCTCGTCTTGGCAATCATTGTAATTATCACATACCCAATATGGCGAGATACACTTTGTGCCATTATCACAACTGAAATCTGTGCACACTGGGAAGTGAGTAGGATTATATTCAATAATTATTGTGATGAACATTCGTAACACGGAAACATGTATCGTAATTGTTTTTATCGTATTATCCGTACGAGTAATATACAAGCCATCCCATCATGCATGGCGGGCGTATTCTCGTCACTACCAATACTATCTGATTATCAATATCATTTGAGTGAGTGTGCGATGCGGCAACGGAATTCATAACGAGGCTTGGAATGATTGCATGTCGATGCAGTGTTACCGAATTGACACACATGTTCGTCAAACCGGATGTCGCGCGCGTGTATCTTACCACAGTTCATTTCGTCCGATCCGTCCATGCAGTCTGCGTAGTTATCACACCGGTACATAGATTGGAAACATGCTCCGTCGTTGCAGTAGAAATATTCGTCCGATCCAGTAGCACAGTTATCTAGGAAAAGTTGTATCCCAAACATTTACGTATTTTACACGTGATCGGAATATGTCACGTGTGCGTAGTTACAATAGGCATTGTATATTTATAATATTGAAATGATGAGTGTTTAAATCCGAATTTTGTCAAATTAAACAAAATGTAAGATATCATTAATATGATTACTTTAAAAAAAGTGGAGTTACAAGCTAATTTTTAGAGAAAATGATTGTTGTATTTTATATTAAAGAATGACGGTTATTTAGTCAAAATTAGAACATTTGATAGCAATGGTTTCCATGGCAAGTTAGTAGCAATGTCCCAAATGTTTGGTTTATGACCAAATACTTAACAGTACCTATGTTGTAACCAATATAAAATGTATATAAATTAGTTGTGAATTTGTTTTCAATTATTGAGCCATTTAATTTAAAGCGGGAGAGTCATCACCTTCGCATGCGT